TTTGGAAATCTTCTTAATTAGCAGCCGTGATTATTTTGAATGCAGCAATAAAGACAACGTTTACATTTTTTGAGTGAACAGTTTTTGTCTCTTTCACACTATCATTTAGTGCATCCAACAAAGCAATGCTTCATCGATCAGTGCTTCTCAAAGTGTGGTCCGTGAGCGCCCCCTAGTGGTCCGCGAGTATATTGGTAACATTTCACATTTGAAATAAATAACTTAATTTAAGTTTTCCGCACTCTCGCGGGAATATCTCCGCAATGGAGCTAGGTTAAGTTTCACTTTCGATTGCATGATATAGCCCAGCGCAACACCTTCATCACACATGTTGCCACCTGTTTGTACCATTTTCAGGCGATTTGTAATCTGTTCTAGAAAAACGATGCGATTTTGGATATTTGTGGAGTTAGGTGGTCCGCGAGTGTTTTTTGTATTGGTTAAGTGGTCCTTGGTATGAAAAAGTTTGAGAAACACTGCTCTACAATTATATTCTTTCATCAATACCAAGAAAGAATACACAATATGTTACGTATTGAGTAAAGTTGTGCAGTTTTGGAAAAAGGTGTGATTTTTTTTTTTTTAGCAATACAATATAACTTTGTCCAAAGAAGTAAAAAAACCGTAACTTTAAAAAGTCATACATTTGAAAGAAACACACTTCTGTCCTGTTTTTGTTATCAGGCGTATAACATGATAAGTTGTAAAACATAGATTTTAACAGTCCATCTGGTCTCATGGCTTTTTTGGGTCATCGCTGTCTGCTCGAAGCTGTCATAAATTCACTTTGTATATATTTTCAAGCCACATTTATACCATACACTTTTTAAACCATAGTGTTTTGAACTAGATATTATTACTGGGTGAAGGCATTTAGTCATGGGACATCTAGATCTTACGTTTGTAGAGAAACAAGCTAGCTGCCGAACAACATGCAGGGAGGATTCTCAGATTGTATTACGTGAAAAAACCAGCTTTATCCAAGCCCAATCAGAGCCCAATCCCATTTATGCAATCAGCTTGTTTTCCCAATACATGAGGGTTGTAATTACAAAACAACTTGTTGGAGAGAGTTGCTGCCCTGTGACACAGATGCATTCTGGGAGATCCATGCAGGGTTTAGGACACAGTAATTACCTCAGGCCTTCTGGCAGAGTCTAAAGAGGCTTTCAATGGATCTCTATCCACCTGCAGAGTAAAGCTGATCAGGTTTGGAGAATGGGAGAGTGATTGGGCTTTTATTGTTCCCTAGCAACATCCAATAAAATAAGGCACTGTAAGAGAAACGAGTAAAAGTGATTATAGCTTTGCACGACTGACATTTGGTTAGTCTGAGCAATGAACACATTCACAAGAGAATTAAAGAAGTGTCACATTATCATAGATCTATCAACCTATTTCTGCTTCCATGACAGGTCTTCTTTCAAGCTAGTGGAAAGAAAACAGCCAAAATCCACATTAAGGTGTTTAATGAACTAACTGTCCATTTATGCCAGTAGATTTCATCGAACATCACCAAAGGTTAGCATTACATATGCCCTTTTGCAGATGAAAACACAACATTTGAGAAAAACTTGGTCTTGAAACCACAAGCTTGAAAATAATTAAGATAAATATTGTTGTTCTTTGAGTGTCTGAAGGTTGTTTTAGCAATGATCCAACATACATAATTCAAGGAGATATATTTTAGGCAAAATCACGTTTTGTTCATGTTCAATGACGTGAAGTTGGGCTTTTATGCTTCCATAACATGTCTTCTGTCAAAGTATTGAAAAACAAACATCTTTAAAAACAAATTCAGGTTTTTATTTGGCGAGCTTTGTCTAATTGTGTCTGTTAAATTAAGAGAATGGCTTATCACAAAACATTTCAGAAACATTTGAAATGTCTTAATGTAATTAGTCCACTGGGGAAGTTTCATGGTGGTATATTTCAGTTGGATTAGTTACCCAATAGTGTCTCTACTTAAAATACATTAGAGCGTACAAAACCTTTGACTTGTTGACACATTTAGAAGCTTAATTAAAAGGTATTTCTGTCTGCTAGTGTCCGTAGTCTCTCTATTTATACACATCTTCTCTATTTATGGATGGCCTTAAACCCACGGTCGCCCAAGTCTAATACCAAGCTAATTTCCTTTGTGTTGAGATGTCCAAAAACACACAAAATCATTAAATATCTGAATTAACGGGATGATTTATTACGTGTATGAGCATATTTATGAGTTCATATTAGAGATTGTATCCAATTAAAAGGAATCACTGATCATTAAGAGCAGCTGGAGTTTGACTTTAGTGCAATATTGACACAAAAAAGGGAAAATGTTGACCAAAAGTGACAGATCTTTAAGAACATATCCATGAGGGGGCATTAGGCGGCTGAAATAGGTACTCAAGTCTAATCTGGGATTAGCGGTGCAGCTGCGTATTGCCAAAGGATTTCTCTTTTCACCTTATGCCTGAGTCTGATGTGGGGGGGATGGCTGAGAGTAGATTTCAAGGGATATGCAGGGTACACATCCCCCATAGTATTTAGAAAAAGTGTACTTGTCTGTTGTCTCTCTTACCCCCCCCCAAAAAAACACGACTTTGATTTAGAAAACCTGCTTGAAGGTGACTTCTAGACACAACAATCAATGTGCTGACTCAGCAGGGATAGCAATAAAGGAGAAAAGTGTATCCATTTTGAAAGCATTACAGTACAAAGACTAACTGTATGATGATATTTTTTAGTTATCGCCTGGCTCTGGAGAGTCGTGTTTTCAAAAGGAAATTGTGAAAGACATTTAGAATTTAAAAAGTTGCAGAAAAATTCCTCAAATTAGGTGATTGATGCTCTAATCCAGGGGGGTCAAACTCAAATACACAGTGGGCCAAAATTATAAAAATGGATACTAGTCGAGGGCCGGAGTGGTTCAATGTTTATTGCAGAACTTATTGAAATGAACTTATTGCACATATTAAACCTGGAACTAACAAAGCTTAAATTATTGCCTATAAAAACAACATTAAATAATCAGGTGCATTCATTTCTTATGGCTCTATCTGCAGCTTTTCAGAGTCATTTCTTATGATTACATTTCTCCACAGGCCAACAACAGCTTCAACAAAACTATTCCCTCAAAGAGAAAACCAAACATGCCCTGTTGTCGTGAGAGAAAGTGCAGAAGGAAGCATCCATTGAACTCAGTGTGCTGCTCTGTGATGCTAGTTCAGATACTTGGCATCTCCTCTTGGGTGCAAGGTCATCAATGTTTGGGCTCAGACTCTGAGCTGAGGAGACCCTCAGGATGGAGTGAAGGTGTGTGTGCAATATACCATCGGGCCAGATCTAATAGGAATTAGGAATTATCCTGCGGGCCGAAATTGAATCCACCAAGGGCCTGATTTGGCCCCCGGGCCTTGAGTTTGACACATGTGCTCTAATTGGTTGGTGTACTACGGTTATAAAACCTTGAATTTTGCATTATGGTCGCGCCATTTTGCCATCACCAATTTGTCTTTTCGGCCCCTCACTTTCTTGAGGGTGGAGCACAGTACAGCAACATGTACTGAGTTGCACTTTTTAATAGACTTCTACACAATCTGCCTTTTTTTTTGCAACCTGTGGATCTGCTGTATATTACAAAGAATTAGAACTGAGACCATAAACTCATATTTATAACATTACCTGGAATTACAAACAAGGTGAGAAGAATAAACATTCTCATTGACTTCTATAAAATCTAACATATATAGCATTTTTACAATATTTACTTTGCTTATTTTTTTGGCAACTTGTATACCATCAGACTATTTTCTTGCAGGAGTCCCCCCGGTTATTAAGGTGAATTGAAACTTGCTATTGAGTTCATAAACTGATGCTTACAGTATCTACCAAAGTATTAAATCAAGTGAGAAGTATAGGGTAATTTTCTCATAGACTTCTACAATCTAACCTCTTTCTTGAACCAGAAGTCTTGCTGGATAGTAAACCAAACATTTACTAACAATTAGGGCTATAAGCACGTCGTGAAAATGATAGCTTTGGTTATAAATAAAGAACATAGTAAGATAATTTTCTCATAGACTTTTATACAATTGGACCGCTTTTCAAACCAAAGAAGTCGCCCCTACTTCTTCCACCACTGTCTGAACTTCATCCATCCATCCATCTTCTCCCGCTTATCCGTGGTCGGGTCGCGGAGGTATCAGTTCCAGCAGAGAGTCCCAAACGTTCCTTTCCCCTCATCAACCAGCTCTGACTGGGGGGTCCCAAGGCGCTCCCAGGCCAGCCAAGAGATATAATCCCTCCACCTGGTCCTAGGTCTACCCCTCGGTCTCTTCCCAGCTGGACATGCCTGGAACACTATAGGGAGGCGGTGGCATCCTTAATAGGTGCCCGAACCACCTCAACTGGCTCATTTCGACGCGAAGGAGGAACTGTCTGAACGTGTATTATCTTATGTTGTTTCTTTAAAATGACAAGATACTCATGTTTACAATATTTACTGATGTAGTAAATCAAGTGAGAAGTAGGGTCATTTTTTCATAGACTTCTACACCACTGGACTTGGAAGGGTCGTCCCCTGCTGGATATTAAAACGAACAATTACTAGAAACTAAGGCTATAAGGACATCGTGAAAAATATATAACTTAGGATTCAAATTAAGAACATAGTAAGATAATTTTCTCATAGACTTTTATACAATTGGACCTATTTTTTGACCAAAGAAGTCGCCCCCTGCTGGTCATTAGAGGGAATTCAGATGGAAGCCAACCACAGTCACCCTACTTTTTCCACCACTGTGGTAATCTGTATTATTTGTAATTTGTTTAATTGAAAAGACAACCAAAAACACACTTAAATGCATTTCCTTGCTCTGTGCAGTGTGCCAGAGTCCTGCTGTGGGTGAAGGACAGTGATCAGGTCTCCTCCCCTCCTCTGATCTGGGATCTGTGATCTTAGCACTGTCTTCATCCTGCAGATCCGCGCTGCTGCTGCCGGTGACGGACAGGGATTTCTGGTGACGCCGCAAAGGGATCGTAAAAATCACAGGAGAACTATTTTGCATTCGCGTTTTTATGAAGATTTGAAGATGGGATTACACAGAAGCGATCACAGGGGAATTGCTTGTTTTTTCGGAATACAAAACTCAGTGTGAAAAGGCTTCTAAAGGGTGAGTTAAATCTGCCAAATGCTTTTTATTCCTCCAGCAGAAATTTAGCACAAGTCCCAGCTCTCAAATAATGTTATTTTATCAAATAAGCTTCGGTTTCTGTCTTTTCTTTTCGCAGTTTTCAGTAACAGGTTGTCGAAGATGTTGAAATAAATTCGCCATAAAGCTGTCGAGGCTTTTTCTTTTTGCACTCGGCACAAAAAAGAAATACAACATGTGGATTTACTTTTTTAGAGAAAGTATTGAGACCTGGGTCACTTTTTAAAATAAAGCAAGCATAAAATATATATCATTATCTTATTATTATTATAATCATATTATCATGTGTCTTTTGGCGAGTCATGTATTATTACATTAAGAGTGTATAATTCAACAGTGTAGGCCTGAAAGTGTTTTTTTTCCTTCACATTTGCATATCTGTGGAAGATTTTGAATACATTACCAGTGTGTTTGTATAAAGAGAATCTAGTTAATGGACTTTATGACTGGATTTAATGTAGATGATGAGTTATTGGTGGGTAAAAAGGGTATATAATCTCGGTGAATACACAACCTCACCACAAGCCTCTTAGTGAGTCTTGACCCCAGCAGGGCAACTAATCTCCAGGAACAAAAACATGGAGCATTTAACCCTAGATAGACCCTTATTGTAACTAGTTAATATAATATAATCAATAAGAAGGTATTTTAATTATCCTCTGGCCTCAGACCAAGTTCTGGTTAAATCTGCCATTATAATACAAATAATATTACAAATGAATAAGAATACAGTTGATATAAAAGCTCCAATTATGTGACAAATGTACAGGTTATTTTTAATTATCTGGATTTTATGCAAGTGTGTATGTGTACAAAAAGAATACATATTTTGTATTATTTTAAAATATAAAATATATGTTAGGGAAAGGTTATTTTTGCGCATTTTACTTATTTCTGGGTTAATACATTTTTGACATTAACCTGCACATTGAAAGGTCACGTTTCTGATAGCAACGTTTCTGATTGGGCCGTGGGTCCACATTTCCGATATTACGTCATATCGGACGCAAATCTGGATCAGCTCCGTTGTTCCCCCGTTTTTAGAGATTTGGGTACGGAGGAAAAGAGAGAGGGTTTTATTTTCTGACGCTGCGTGAGTTCCCTGACACACCGGGGACACATGTTGATGTAGAGAAGACATCACAAAGTGCATTTTGCATGATAGGTCCCCTTTAATGATTCACTTTTAAAAAAAATGTATTTATTAGTTTATGTTTTGGATATTTATTGATCCATAAATGTACTTGTTGTAACAAAGTAGTTAGTTTAATGACATATTTAGCACTTGATCCACACATCTGTTTCTGTATACGCAAACAAATAAATATACATTAGAGAACAAAATAAAAAGGTGATAATAATGAAGCATTCAGAGGGTTAAAAACACAAAATCTTACCTAAAAAACATATATAAAAATATAAAAATAGACAAGAGGCACCAGAAAAAAAAAGAAAATACATAAAGAAATATTTGGGAAATATAGAAAAATTGATTGATAGGCAATCACCAATGTCCAACTTTGTATTCAGGCTTTTTGAATACGTTTGAGTTGTTGTTGCACATGTTCTCCACAACACAAGAAGGGCAGCGCATTATTAACAAACAAAAAATAATTGCCAATGTAATAATTGCACCATCATCCTTTATTATAACTGGCATCATGTCTTAATCAAATGAGCGTTTTCATATTAAAAAGGAAGAAAATAATTAGCATATTAGGTTGAAGAAGAGTCAGAAATCACCAGCACACTTCATTACATCAACTATCATTATATAAATGCATTGTCAGGTTCAACATGCAGAAATGCTGTGTGTCTGGAGACGGTTATGCAACTCACATGTGGAGAGACAATACTGTGCAGACACTGGATTTACCTTTCCTCATCCTCCACTGCACGCGGCCTCATGGTGGTTCTGCTCCTGTGATTTCATTTAGTGGGGGGTTGGTTAACTCCCTGGTATTAGCAGTAATCTGCATGTGTGCACGTGTAGTGTTACAACCACCGGTGTTCCCCAGAGATCAGTGAGTCAGTATTTACCAAAAAATATCCATTAGTGGAAGCAATAAGCACATTGTTAGAGTTTTAATTGGCTTGACATGCTCTCGAAAGCATCAAATCCAACGTGAAAAAAACATAACAATAAGGATGGTTGTGGTGCTTTTTGAATACTCATCTGCTCATTGCAAAGGTGGAATAAAGTCCTAAAAACATGTAAATATTCCACAATAATTCAATTCACACAATAGGGTTTGTGCAAAGTTAAAACTCCTTTATTTTACATTATATGCAATATATATTTGAATGACCAACATAGAGGCAGTTACTTAATGAAGACCAATGTCAGCCATCTTGGTTGTGTCACATACACATTGTTCTTGAGGTAGTGACCAATCAAAGCAATCTTATGCTGACTAAAAATGTATATGCTTATTATTCCACGTAATACTACATTCATTATTTTTGTACAACTCTTAAATATATTCACTGAAATTGAAAAGAAAAAAACTTATATTAAATATTCCTAAAAAATCCACCAAATCCACAAACTAGTGTAAAAACCTTAGCTTTGTATTTGTTCAGCCTTGTGTTTTATTAAATCTATTGAGTGTATTCCACTTATTAAAACGATGGCTGTACTTTATACCTTTTTTTTTTTTTTACGGATCCCCATTTATTTCTGGGGTCCACACAAAGAACATTAAAATGCCACATCATTCACAATCCATGATATAAAAGAGAAAAGTCTATCGCACTTAAAATGTCCCATAAAAAGTCGTAACATTAACTCAAGTACTGTAGTTAAATACAATATTGAGATACTTGTATATCAATTTAAAGGTCACCTATCATGCTATTTTTAGGCTATAGCATGGGTCTCAGATATATAAAAATCTATAAAAAATATGTCTATGAAGTGTTTTGCTCAAAATACCAAACAGATCACCCATTCTAGCCATGCCTCATATCCCTCTATTTCACTTCCTGTTTCAAAAGTGCTGATTTGGGGTATAAAGCTTTAAAAATGTTTAATAACAATTAAAAAAGGAGGGGGCGGAGCTTATGCAGGACCCGGCAGCTACTGTCTAAACTAAATGCTGCCGTGATGAAACGCCATATCATGGATTATCAAGGATTCTCTATGAAACAGTTTGGAGCTCAAAGGCTTTCTCTCTTGCCGGTTATACCACAAGGTGAGTTCCTTTTTACTTCCTGCTTCTTCACACACATGCTCTCCAGTACAGGTTAGCTCTGAGTGTTAGCGATGCTAATGTAAACACCGACCATATTACGTCCAAAACAGTCGGGCGTTGTTTCTGATAGCAACGTTTCTGATTGGGCCGTGGGTCCACATTTCAGATATTACGTGGGTGTAAAGCCAGCCTACATTTCCGATGTTACGTCATATCGTACGCAAATCTGGATCAGCTCCGTTGTTCCCCGTTTTTAGAGATTTGGGTACGGAGGAAAAGAGAGAGGGTTTTATTTTCTGACGCTGCGTGAGTTCCCCGACGCACCGGGGACACATCTTTATGTATAAAAGACATCACAAAGTGCATTTTGCATGATAGGTCCCCGTTAATGATTCACTTTTAATTTTTTTAAATGCACATGTACTTCTACTCCACTACATCTCTGAGGGACATATTGTACTTTTTACTGAACTATGTTAATCTGAGAATAGTAGTTGTATGAGCGTAAGTATTTAAAGTAGATCAAATTAGCTCCGCCTTTACCATCTACAACATTAAAATGATGAACACACGTTTAATTTTCATCCAATTATTCATATATATTATCCTGACAGGCCATTCTGCATCATGAGTTGTTGTTTTTTTTACTTTTGGCACTTTAAGTATAATTTGAAGCTAATACTTTAGTAATTGTACTTAAGTTACATTATCAATTTCAGGACTTTTACACTGTAGTATTAATACTTTTACTTGAGTAGAATATCTAAGTGCTGCTTCTACCTCAGTCAACAGTAGCATGATTAAATAAAGTAATAAATACAGTAAAATATCTCTATAAAAAGATTTAAAAAAAACTTTCTGGAACTTCAGGAACTAAGTCTACTCTTGAAGTTAAAGTTATCACAATAAATAATAAATAATTGTAACCAAATATCATGCAAAGTTGTATATATTTTTAAAGCTAATAGTAAAAGCAATCCGTTCTTCATTTTTTCACAAACCCTACAGTGCTTCTTGGATAATTTTTTTATGAGATTTTTATGTTTTTAAGACCATTATTTTACCCATGACCCCTTGCATAAGGCCATGTGTTCACTGTGAGAAATTACCCAAGTTAGCATCACATTTAAACAGATTTCTCTCGTAATTATTGCCATTGTAAAACCGATCCTTAAAGGGAATTCTGCATTTTAGCACAACCTCAGGCAATCCGAACCGTTCATTTTAAGCAAATACGTTGTTTTTATTACCATTTCCCACCAATGCAATAACCCAATGTAAGTCTCTATGAAAGCATTTCCTGGAGACCTGGATGTTTTCTCCAGACTGTACTGAGAAGTGAGTCCCTGCCCTGGGGTGAAAGAAAAAAAGTAGCCCTGGGCCGGAAATACCCCTAGTGGAAAAGCAAAGAAAAACGGGCTGGGCCAAACTAAACTAAACTAAACCGTGCTACGTGCTGCTGTGGAAAAGCGCCATAAGTGGAGCCCTAACGGGCCGTCCACACTACAGCTTCGACAGCTTCAAAAACGGTTTCCAACGCGTCTGCCCATTCACTTTGAATGGGGTGACGTCACGTTGCCTCGCTTTTCGCCGAACTGAATTGTGGGTAGCATAGCGGTCCGTCTCCGGCGTCAGAAGTTGTAGCCAGCGCCAGCCAATCAAATCATATGCCAGTTCAAGCTCTAGCCAATCAAACCGCTGCTTGTGTGTCAGGGGCGGGAGATTCATGTGATTGGTTGTTGGTCGAGCTTCAGACGCGCCCAGCTCTAAGCTTTTTTTGAAGCTGTAGTGTGGACGGGCCCTAATGGACTTAACTGAAACTGAAGATAGAACCTACAGTCTGCCTGTAAGCCATAGCTGTCGATCTCGTGAATTTTACCAGTCAGAAACTAATTTCCCTGTATGAATTCAAAACAAACAAGCCTTTCTCTCGATGTAAATCTCAGTGAAAAGCAGTTAGTGTAGCTACTCTGTGATTCAGATCAGCTCTAAAATGTTATGGTTTATTCCTCAGCCTGTTACACACCCTTCCACCAAATGTCCTACAAATCAGGCCAGTAGTTTTTTCCTTAATCCTGCTGACAGATAAAGAAAGAAAGATAAACCCTCCTTGGCGGTGGTAGGAATAGATAAAGCAGGTAAAACCATGAAACCGTGATATTTTCTGAGACTGTTCATACCGGGAAAATCTTATACCGCTGCAACCCTAGATTCAGAAGTAATGTTCAAGTGTGTCACTTATACATGTATTACTATTCTACCACATGAGCACCTTTTGCATAGTTTATTTTCTGATAAAACATTTGTTGTGTCTTTGATCAAATTAAATGATGTAATTATAATAATTACTTTCCCACTTGTGATGCTGAGTCTTTTAACTGGTTGCGTTTTTTTGCCAATTGTTGCACAAACACAACTGTGCCTTTGTTTTTTTTATGGAGACATACTTTACATGCTGTTCAGTTAGACAATACTTTCACCCGTGCAATTAAACCTTGCGCAATAATACTTGTGTACCGTTAACCAGAGATGGAGTACTCAAGTCCCGGAAACGGACTCGAGTGCCGATTTTCGGGACTCGTGACTCTTCTCGGACTCGCGCACTGATTGACGCGACTTCTCGCCCACGATGACTTGGACTCGGACTCGTGAATTCTCGCGCACGATGACTTGGACTCGTGAATTTTTCCCCCCACGATGACTCGGACTCGACTTGTACATTGACGCTCCGACTTGGACTCGGACACTCCTTGGGTGACTCGGACTTGAACACAGGTAATGATGACTCGGACTCGACTCGGACACTCCTTGGGTGACTCGGACTTGGACTCGACTACGACACTCCCTAGGTGACTCAGACTTGGACTCGGACTCGAAGAGTGGTGACTCGAGTGACTTGGACTCGTGAATTGGTGACTTGACTACAACACTGCCGTTAACATTACCTACATAAGCATCACATATAAACTGATTTCTTTTTTATTTACTGCGTTTTATTATACAGATTCTACTTGTAATCTGTTCTATAACTTTGACTACTTTTATTTATGAGACTTTTATGTTTATTAGACCATATTTCACATATGCAATGACACCATTACAAGATAGTATTATAAAAACAAGTATTGTCTTAACACATTTCCTGGAGACTAGGCTGTTTTCTCCAGACTGTACTGAGAAGCGAGTCCCTGCCCTGGCTGTTCTCTAAGTGAAGCCCTAATGGACTTAACCTGCTGCACACAGGACTGAAGATAGAACCACAGTCTGCCTGTAAGCCATAGCTTTAGTTATTTAAAAAACCAGCTGATCGTTTACAGAAAGAGGACTCTGATCCTGTTTAGTGTTAAGGACATAATGAGCATGTATTTTTAGGCGCTACTCTCGACAAACTGTGAAAAGTGGCGTTCAGTAAACAACAGCTCTCTCTCATGAGGGAGGGAAATTAATGCATTTAGCTTTTTGATGTTTAGTGTTTAGGGGCTTCAAAAGCTAATTAACACCATCACCTGTAAGTGGATATAATCACTGTGACGTCACCAGAGCTGTAAGAAGTACTTAGATCCTTTACTTATGGAGGCTGGGGCTCAGTGGGTAGTATGACTTCGAATCAGGGGATAGCAAGTCCGAGTCCCACTGCAGTCAGCATGTCGTTGTGTCCCTGGGCCACAAATTGCTTCTGTGGGGATTGTCCACAGTACTGAATGTATGTAAGTCGCTTTGGATAAAAGCATCTAACAAATGACATGTAATGTAATGTAATGTAAAAGTAGGAATACTATGTACTTAAAATACTCCACTACAAGTACAAGTCTCGAATATGATCAGCTACATTTACCAAAGGTACAAGTACTCAGTTTGCAGAATTGGTCTTTTCACAGTATTATGGTATTATACAATTTCTTTATACAAATGTTATTTTTTTTGTACCTATGAGTATGAAAATAACTGAAATAACTTTGACTGTGTAAAATGTAGCATTAAATGGAAATAACCAAATATAGTCATGACACAAGAAGGTGGTGCACAGTTGGCCTACCACAACCAAAATGTTACTGTTAACTTTCATGAAGCGAAAACAACTAACTGTGAAAGGTTAGCAGGTTAGTTAGCAGTTAGCATGTCAGTTTGAAAGTAGCAGGTTGATTAATAATTAGCATCTGAGACAATGAGCATCTCAGTTAGCAGGTCGTTTGTTGGGTTAATCAGCCGGACATAAACTAGGCAGTTAGCAGGTTGATTAGCGATTAGCATGCTATTTAGCTGGACAATTAGCATCTCAGTTAGCAAGTTGTTTGTTAGGTTGGTCAGCTGGTCATAAACTAGGCAGTTAGCAGGTTGATTAGCGATTAGCATGCTATTTAGCTGGACAATTAGCATCTCAGTTAGCAAGTTGTTTGTTAGGTTGGTCAGCTGGTCAGGCTAGTTAGCACTAGCAGGCCCATTAGCATCTCAGTTAGCAGGTTGATAAGCAGTTATCCGGCTAGTTAGCTGGACAATTAGCATCTCAATTAGCATATTGTTCGTTAGGTTACTCAGCAGTTCCTTAGGCAGCTAAGTTTGCTTGTTGAAAAGCAGTTAGTTATAAGTTGACTTTTTTTAAAGGTGGTTTAGTTTATTTCATCATAACTGGAGTTTTACTTCCTGTCTTTTCTGCGGATCTGACTGGAATCTACTGCATTTTGTCCCCTGGTTGAAAAGTTATTGTTGTTATTGTATACTGTAGCTGCTGTAAGATAAAAACACAGAAAACACCATGGTAAAGCCACCTGGCAATCACAAGTTAGCTTTACACTCAAACATACACTGCTTTATTGACTTTTTTATTTAAAATTAGACCACAATTTACTACATTTACACCATGCTGTATTGAAGAAGACTTAAAGCTAACGATTGAGCAAACACTCATTGGGGAAATGTTTACTGAGGTAATGGTTCGTTCTGACTAACAAGTGTGAAGTTGAAGAGTATAGAAATGTATTTTGTTTAAGAAATGTAATCAGGTTAACTAAAGTCAAAATAGGCCACTCAATCGAGCGTGTTTAACAAAAAGAGCAAATTAGCTAATAGGCTACAAGAACCACAAATATTAAATTCCTTACTAAAAATATATGTAAAATGTGATGTGTAAAGTTGCCTTTTGTCTGTGTTGTGTGCTGCAGGGCCATCAGAGCCAGACACGGCGACATGGCAAAAACCGGCAGTGAGAGAAAGCTTTTCTCCTCCAGACAGCGGCTGTCCAACACTGATGACGAGCTCGCTGTCATCGAAAATGGAGAAAGCAGGTCTGATATCACCCTGAAACTCTTACGATTATAACAGGGCCGCAGCAGCAAAAGCCGTATTGGAGAAAAGGAGGAAGTGTTATATTGCATTACTCCGAGTACATAAACAACACATTGATTTCTGTTTTAGAGTTGATTTTGATTCATGGAAATCATCGGCGGTAGTTTTTCTGTAATCCTGTTGACAGACAGACAAACTGAGCTGAAAACAAAACCTTCTGGACGTAATAATAATAATTTTTTAATTTTGTAAAACCGTCATATTTCTGAGATGGTTTTTGTATCTGATGCATATTCAAGTAATGCTCTTAAAAACTGCTATTTAAAACTATTATCCTACCTTTTGCATTGATTTCTAAGGCCCCGGCCACATCGAGACAAAAAAGAAAACGAACCGAGGTCGATATCAAAAAAGTTTTCCGTCCACACGGAATCGAAAGAAACGTGTCCGTACCATAGACTCGTCCGTACACACAAGACATATAGTAGTACATATGCCGGGCCTGTAAGTGGCGCTGTACTTCCGCCACAAAATACACCAAAAGCAGCGAAGAAGACCCCCCCCATGTCCACTTGTTGCTGATGGTTGTGGTAGAGGAGCTGTAGATTTTGCACTAACATCTGTAGCATGGTCCGTAGCATCTGGAGCACGAACACAACCCTGTGATCCGCCATTGTTGTTGTTGTTGGCGAAACACATCAGCAATGACACGGGGTGACACGGGGGTGAGCAGGAGAGGTGGGGAGAGGCGGGGCTATGATCGTTTAGGGCGTACACACAGTGCCGCAAGCGTTACGTTACCAAACCTTCCCACTTTGGGATGCGTTATCGTTTGAGTGCTCCGTTTCCGCGGCTCCGGCCCAATCCCAAACCACTCCCTCGACCCTACCCCTCCGTGACGGAGTGAACTCCGTCTGTAGCCACACTCGCAGCTCAACGAGGCTCCCTCCTGTCAGATGGAGGGAGTAAATACAGCGGCAAGCTTGCGGACGGCCTCCCCTCTCTCCAGCAGAAACAGGAAATGCCGTAACTGTAACAACGGTTTCAAATCAGCATCTCTTTGACAAAACATTCAAATTAATAATTAAAATAAAACTCCAAACATCTTTCATTGTGTTTCAAAGCTCTTTTAGTTTTAAACCTGATGTTTATAAGCTTCTTAGTTTTTGCAACAGTCTGTAAATATACACAACTTTATAATAAAATGCACATATTTACCTTTTTCTAGACTAAACACAGGTTTGATCCTAAGTTAAAAACATATGAGGCTATCATGAGGTTGTTAACATCGCAGTTTATCAGTGGATGTTTGCTGGAACTACTTGTACACAGCGTGTTTCCTGACGGACACACACAACGTTGAGACCGGTCTCAAGTCAGCATCGCTGCAGACTCGCTGTTTGAGGGCTTGATAGCCCACTCCCCTCCACACCGCTCCACACTTGTTGGTTTGGAACAGCACTTAATGTGGCGGATCCTCCACGCGAACGATAGTGGAGTGTGTAGGGGTAGGGTGTCGGGGGCGGTTTGGGAATGGGCCTCCGTTACGGCCTCGTGTGGACGAACCGTCCATACGATAAAGACCTATAGCGGATACCACCCGTTTAGTTTCCGTGTGGACGGGGCCTAAGAGTGAAATATCTGTTCTGATAACACATTTTGTATCTTTCAGAGCCTCATCAAATCATAATAATATATATTTGTGGCATCTCACAGGGCTTCTCTGTGTGAAGATATCTCGGAGAGAGCGCTGTCTTCAGATTCTCACAGAAACTCCTTCACAGGATCCGGGGCGATGGCCAGGTAAACTTCATTAAAATGTGCCTGTAGTTATAAATCAGTATTTACCAGAGGTGGAAAGTCACTGAAAGTTCATTTAAGCACAATTTTGAGGTGCTTCACCTGAGTATCTGTATTCTACATTACACATCCTCCATCTCTGGTATATACATCCTGTTCAAGTAGAGTAGATTGCTCCTTTTTAATTAATGAAAAAAACAAACTGCCTACAACCCTAAAATGTAATATTTTCAATTTTCAACAATAAAAGTAAATCAACGATAAAAATAACAAAATGTTAAAAAAAGTATATGAAATATAAAATAAACAATATGTGCTGCAATTATGTTATTATTGATTTCTCTTCTGCGAGAACATATAATATATTAATCATTTTGTTTGATCGAATGTAAAAAAATAACAAAAAATTAATGAAAGTACTTATATTAATAATTTTGTCTGTTCAAAATCCAAAGATGTTTACTTTAAAATAAAATAAAGCATTTTATGCTGGAGATAGCTTTTTCTTTTGCCATCTTTGCATGAAATATTACACGATTAATCAAATATCAAAATAGATGGGAATTATTTGACCTGTCGATGGACTGTAAACGAAGGCAGACATTTGATTGAAAGACTTTACGTTGTAAGTGTTTTGGCGTTGTTGTAGTATTTTGACTAGTAGAGACGTAGTATTGGTATATAAGTATAAGATGTGATTACCTCCTTCACCTCTAGTATGTACACTTCCTGTCCCGATAGACTAGACGGCTGTCACTTTGCTCCTCTCTCCCCCCACTAACCTCCCAGGCTCTCTTACTTCTTCTTCATGCTGTGGAACTGGGCGTCTCACAGAGTTCACCCCGAGGTGGAGCGACGCGACTCATTCCTCGACCGCTTCAGGGGCCCCGAGCTCAAAGAGACGTCGAGAGAAAGCAACGCTCAGTCTTTGGGGTCCTGTGACGTCGCCCGCAAGAGGAAGTGAGTACGGGAATGTGTGCAGCACTGATACCTTAACATTTAAAGGGTATTTCACCAACAAAATAAACAAAACATGTCAGGAAAGCATATCAGCAGGTAGAGGGGTCGTCCACCAATCGGAGGGTTGGTGGTTCTATCCCTGGCCTCTGCAGACAACATAGTGAAAGGTCATGAGTCCTGAAACCTGGGAATGAGTCCTAAAACCTGGGAATGAGTTAACATCTCAGCACTTCTCGTTTTCTCTCCTCGAAGTCAAAGTTTTTTTCCATTGGTTTTTGGTTAAAGGCCTGTAATACGGTTAACACAAGCTAAAGAGATTTACACGTTTTGTTCTACGACATTAAAGTGTATGAGTTAATTCCCCACTGATGAATGTCCGAAGCTTCTATGTGAAAAAGCAAACTGCACACTGACGGATACAAAAAAAGACTCAATATTTGTACCATTCAACAAGAGATTTATGAATAATCATCAGTAGGATCAGCATTTAGAAAACGTAATTTGAATGAACTGGAACTGTTAGCAAAGACAATATGTTTTTAATGTCTGACGTTGTGAGGGCTTCCTGTGTAAACATCTTTTCCTTCATTTCTTTCCAAAGTCTTGCCATTAAGTGGCCGCTAGCTACTTACAACATGAATAACTGCAACAACACAGACAAGTAAGTGTGTCAGGAAATAGAATAGAATGATAGAAAAAGTAGAATTTGTATAGGAAGCAGTCATAGATCACGCCTGACATTAGTAGCTTAGTTTGTATCATGCTAATATGGTACATTCTGCAGTAGTAGCACATTAAAAACAACAGTCCCTCTTCCCTTTTTGGTGTTTCCTCCTTCAACAGATGCTTAAATCTTCTAACTTTTGCCTGTTTTCTGTTGTAAATCATGATGTTGTACTGATTTAACCTTCTGGGAAAGGTTTTATATATTAGGCATAATATGAAATAGTTTTGAAGTGGTAAAGGAAAAAGAAGCAGAATGGTTTTACGCACCAGATCTTCCAACAACGTCCTGAATCCCAGAATTGAATCCAGTAGAAACCCCTTCCTCTAGTCCAATAGACCACCTCTGTCTTTACCACCATATCAAAACAACAACATCTGACCCTTAGCAAAAAAGAGGAAAAAAAGGAGGAGATTAAAAAAGACGAGGAGAAAAAAGACGACGAGAAGAAAGACGGAGACAAGAAGGAAGAGGAGAAGAAAGACGGAGACAAGAAGGAAGAGGAGAAGAAAGACGGAGACAAGAAGGAAGAGGAGAAGAAGGAGGAGAAGAAGGACGAGAAAAAGGATGATAAGAAAGTTGAGAAAAAGAAAGAAGAGCCACCGTAAGTATAACAGCTAGATAGAGTACTGAGACTGGGAAATCTAATATCAGAAAACACATCGTCTTGCTTGCTTGTAAAATCCACCAAAAAGTCCAAAAACAAATTCATTTTTTTCCAGGAAAGATACCTGGATGATGGATCCAGCCACAGACTTGTACTACAGGTGGCTCACAGTCATCGCATGCCCAGTATTTTACAACCTGATGATGATTGTAACAAGGTAACTTCCATTAAAACATGCTTCAGCTATTCCGTCTTCACTCCCACTTACAACATTTGAAAATGTATTGTTGTTGTGGTTTAGATCCTGCTTTAATGAGCTCCAGGACACGTACACACACCTCTGGATCTTCTTGGACTACAGCGCTGATATAATCTACTTTGGGGATACGTTTGTCAGATCGAGAACAGGTCGGGAGCTTTGAGCAAACACATTTTACAGTATTTCATGTGTGCATAGCTACAGTGTAGTTATGACAATCGTAGGTCACAGGCTCCTCCAACAGTGCAACACAATAAAACAGATAAAATAGTGCAAGTAAATAAAATAAAATTGAATATAATAGAAACAGAATATGATAGAAACTGTGCAGAATAGTCTATATACAGTAATTGGAATATTGATGCGATATATGTGAGTTGCAAACAGTTCTTTCTTATACGATGTGGCTCCTAATTTTGTGTTTCCTGCTCAGGTTACCTGGAGCAAGGCCTGCTGGTGAAAGATTCGAAGAAACTGCGAGAAAAATACAAAACGACGCCTCAGTTCAAATACGACATGATTTCCATGATACCCACTGATCTGCTGTTCCTCAAATTCGGATACAACAACCCGGAGTTCAGATTCAACCGCCTCTGCAAAATGACGAGGCTTTTTGAGTTCTTCGAGAGGACTGAAACAAGAACCAGCTTCCCGAACATGTTCCGTATCAGCAACCTCGTACTTTACATCCTGACCATTATCCACTGGAACGCTTGCATGTTCTTCGCCATCTCGAAAACTATTGGGTTTGGAACCGACACGTGGGTTTATCCCAATATCAGCCACCCGGAGTACGGACGCTTGGCCAGGAAGTACATCTACTCGCTGTACTGGTCCACGCTGACCCTCACAACCATCGGCGAGACCCCAGCGCCCGTGAGGGACGTCGAATTCCTCTTCGTCATCTCAGACTTCCTCACCGGTGTGCTGATCTTCGCTAGTATCGTCGGTAACGTCGGAGCCATGATCTCCAACATGAACGCCTCTCGCGCCGAATTCCAGGCGAAGATCGACTCCATTAAGCAGTACATGCAGTTTCGAAAGGTCAGCAAAGACCTCGAGGGAAGAGTCATCAAGTGGTTCGACTACCTGTGGACGGAGAAGAAGACCTGCGACGAGAAGGAAGTCTTGAAGAACCTGCCGGACAAACTGAAGGCCGAGATCGCCATCAACGTGCATTTGGACACGCTGAAGAAAGTGCGAATTTTCCAGGGTTGCGAAGCTGGCTTGCTGATTGAGTTGGTGCTCAAGCTGCAGCCACAAGTGTTCAGCCCTGGAGATTACATCTGCAAGAAGGGCGATATCGGCAGGGAGATGTACATCATTAAGGAGGGGAAGCTGGCTGTGGTGGCGGACGACGGCATCACGCAGTTCGTTGTGCTCAGCGATGGTGCGTACTTCGGAGAAATCAGTATCTTAGGGATCAAGGGAAGTAAAGCTGGGAACAGGAGAACGGCTAACATCCGAAGCGTTGGCTACTCGGATCTCTTCGCGCTGTCCAAAGACGACTTAGTGGAGTCTCTCACTGAGTACCCCGAAGCCAAAAAGGCTCTGGAGGAAAAAGGTAAAGCCATCCTGATGAAAGACAACCTGATCGACGAGGCCATCGCCAACGCCGGCGCCGATCCCAAAGACATGGAGGAGAAGATCGAGAAACTGCAGACCAACTTGGATTCAATGCAGGGAAAGTTCGCCCAGTTGATGGCAGAGTTTACCTCCACTCAATCCAGGATGAAGCAAAGGGTCACCCAGATGGAGGCCAAGGTCAAATCCATACAACCCCAAGACTTGGCCGAGGTGGAGGCCGACAAGGACAAAAAGGTCCAGTAATGTGAGAGAATCCGGAGGACTTTACGGGAGACCAAGGGATTTTTCATGGAGGATAGTTGAGAGGGACACTTTTTTCAAAAAAGGGACCATATTTATATCTATTCATACATCTGTCTGTTTGTTATCATGCATAATTGTGTACAGTGTATGCAGCAGTGTTGAGGAAAACTGTGACGGGAATACTGATCGTCAACATTGTTTCCAAGACGGGATGGCATCGATATGAACATGGAATATCGAGGAAAAGTCGAGACTAAAATGCTTGTCCCCTTCTCTTCTCCTCTCTCACAGAGCTGTCCTTGTCCAGAAAATCGTGCCACTATCATGCATAACCTTGCAAATGGTTTGGGTGGGGAATTCTGCGTATCTTTGACCAAATAAGTTTGCATTTTTGCAAGGCTAGCCTAAGGATAAGAACATTAGGAGGACTTGAAAGAGCTTCAACCTGTGTTTTTCAGAAAATGATTTAAAGATAACATTTCATGTGAAATACCTTTTCCAAAATGACTAAATTATAGGTTTTGGTTCGACTGAATTGACGATAATTTGGTAACATTTGACACAAGACCAAGACAAAACAACAAAATAGCCAAAATGAAGACAAAACCTTTTATACTAAAGCATTTTTATCTTATAATACATTAAAAACAGCTGCCTAAAGGAACACTGGTATGCAGCTTGTTGTCATGAATGAGTTTGTGGTTCGAAAACCTTTGTGTAAGCAATCTGTCCTCACCGAAAAAAACAGACGTAGAGGTCGTCTGTGCAAAGAAAAGTTGTATTTACCTTGAGTCGAGTTTGTTAACTGCATTGAACTGAGTGGTAATGCAAAGTGTGATGGAAAAGATAACCACAAATGATATTCCTTCAAAACTATGTTAGAAGTGACAGAAAACAACTATTTTGAGTACGTTTTATTTAATTTTTAATGCAGAAATGTCATTGAATGCTGTTTTCAGCCTCTCAAATATGGAGATTTCGTTTAATTTCATATTGAAACGAATATCTTCGAGTTTGGACGGACAACACAAACATTTGAAAACAGCATCTTGGACTTTTAGTTACTGGGATGGACATTTTTCTGACATAAAATTACAATTAAAGTCACGATCAAACGTCACATAGTAAACTCCATCCCAAAACTACGATCTTTGACAACCAAGTAGTTTTGTTTCACAACTTTAAATCGGACGGTTATTAAAGTTCTGTTGGGCTTCATAAGGTTTGAGGACGTGTTGAAAAGAAAAAGGCTTTTTATAGAATAATGAGTTGTTTCTTGATCAATATTGACATTTTACCCCAGAAAACATTGATCCATCTGTAAAGTATGAAACAAGTCATTTACACAACAACACATCCCTTTCATACTGAATGTGAATGTACATAAAAACCCAAATGCAGTTCTGTTTATAAATAATATACATTATTAGTTGTAAATTGCGATGTTATATGTAAATAAACATTTAAATGTTTGTGTCTATACTGTCCTTTTAAGAGAGAATTCATAATTGTTAGTGGAAATTATTTCAATTACAAAGATTATATATTTTTCACCTTTAAATTTATTTTGCATAATAGTTTGCTTTACATAAGAGTTTCACATTATCTGCACATTCTCTATGTACCTGAGATATTTGGCCAAATAAAGCTTTGCATATTTGGCAGCTGCACGTACAACTGTGCAACAGAAACACTTCATAGCACACAAACCGAGGGAAGAGGAACATATTTTTTAACAGGATGTGAAAGCTATTGAAACACACACTGGTGGTCACGCTTCACAACACGCAGAATTCATGTTATATGTAATACAAGAGGCACAACACAGAAATAATACTGCAACATAATAAGCTTTAGATAGTGCTGCGTTTGCTCTGAGAGGAAATAGAAGCTCCTCAGCGAGGTGTTGGCAGTCTGTGCCACTGAAGATGTGTTTCCATCCACCTGTTTGATGCACATTTTTGATTTTCGCGCTCGGTGCAGAAATGCCGAAATTAATCTTGAGATGTTGCAGAACCGTCTTAAAGCTTAGCTGAGGTGTGAGAGTTCGGGTATGGATGAAAGAAAATGCAACAAAGTGTAGATTTAGTGACGTACATGAAGCAAATCAACTCTAATTTAGCAGAAAACACGGAAATGTTTTTGTCAGTGCTTCACAGATTCGATATAATAATGCCTGAAAGAAATCAGCAATGTAATATTTCTATTCAGTTTTCTACATTTTGTCAGAATTGGCCGTTTTTTATATTCAAATTGTGTCACGCCATAGAGGCCTAGAGGGATGAACTATCTTTGTAGGTCTGGTTACCTCAACTCAAAGCCAGTTTTTTTTCTCCATGGATTACTCCAGAAAAATAAGCTCTGTGGCAAACACACATTTAGGATCACACACATTGGTTCAGCAGGATTATCTCCACATATCCACTTTATGATTATGATTGAAGTAAATGGTTTGGGTTATTTGAAGCTAATATTTCAGCACTTTCCTTCTTGTTCTGAGTTTCGGTTTATTGCACTTATTGTAAGACTCTCTGGATAAAAGCGTCAGCTCAATGAAAAAAGCTATCGATAGGCTATAAAGGAACTACAGCTAGGTCACATGACTTCACGTCACAACCGCTAACGATGGGCGTGATGACGCTTGTTAGCAACACCGTTTTATTAATTCACCAGTGGGGTATTCACTGACATGTTTGATTGGATATGGCTTAAGTTAACCGCAGACTTTATTTCAGGCATCTAACCAAAAACACGTTCATAAAACCATTGACTTCCAGACGAGGGAACCGAAAGCGTTGAAATGCTGATTCTTTTAGGCCTCATTCCTGCACTTCTCTTTGACATTTCATCATCACTCTCTTCAGCTCGTCTTAAACACAGATGTTATTTCATGCATCTAACTAAAGAAAGTTGCGTATAAATTGCGAAAAATGCCAGAAGTTTTACAAGACAAACATAACTTTGAAGCTATAATGCAATTGCCAAAGGAAAATAAGCTAACGTTAGCATACATAAAAGCTTTAAGTTCATGAGTGTGGAATTTATTTAGGTATTTGATGTCGTCGAACAGAACGCTTCAATCTTTTAAACTTGTGTTTGCCACAGATCTTATTTCAGCCATTTAATGAAAACCCATTGACTTTGAGAAAAAGTAGTCTCGTAGTCGTACCAGTCTCGAGTGTAATGCTTTCCCTACTGATGCTCATCTTGATTAATACACCTCTAATAATCGCATAGCAGTATTCGATGAAAACAAGCATTTATTCTTTATCTTCTTTAATCAATTTACTCGATAAAATGTGCGATACATTTGGATGGAAACCTGGCTAATTAACGTTACAAAGGAGCACCATAATGCTCAGTCCACCAGAGCGTTGGGACTGAATACTGCTACCGCATGAAACTCTGAACAACACAATAAAAGTCAACGTGGTTCAATAAATACACTGCACGTGCACTGCATTCAATAAAATCTTGTGTTATAAGTGCACTTTCACAGTTTCACAAAATCAAATATATTGTTCACGTTTGCCCAGAAACAGAAAATAAAACGTTGTTATTCAAGTGCCGTGTCGAACTCTTTGGGACATTTCTACTGAATATGAAACTAACTCTCAGAGTGAAAAAGGCCCACAGTGGAGATGACTTGTAGGCACGGGGTTATTGCAGCATTTAGTTTCATGTCATTTCCCTCTTTGCCCCTTGAGTGTGATACTCCCTTTTTGTTTTTGTTAAAATGTAGTCTCTCTCTCTCTCTCTCTCTCTCTCTCTCTTTGTGGATCACAGCATCCCAAACCCTTTGGCGTATGTGATGGCCTTCAGGAGTCTTTCCTTCAGCTTCTCCTTGGAGCAGTATTCAGGGAGCAGCAGCGCGTTGAAGCAGGTGTGAGAGGTCGGCAGCCTGAGGGAAGAGAGAGAAAGTAGGACGATTAAAAGAAGGCCGACAGGGAAATGTTACAAGCTTATTAACTGGTTGATTTGAGCCGTCACAATGTTTTGGTAATACAATAATTTGACACAAGAACAAAAAACAAGGAAGTAACCAACTGTAAGTTACTACTAAATTGATACAAATGTATCTTTGGCTCGACTTGATTTTGTCCGTCTATCAGCAAGATTCTAGCAAAACTACAGGTCCTATTTTCATAAAAAGTTCAGCGTGAGCCAAGGAAAAACCTAATGTTAGGCTATAAAGGAACTACAGCACGGTCACATGACTTCACGTAACCACCGCTAAGCTAAAGGTGGCTAATGTTGGGCTATAAAGGAACTACAGCACGGTCACATGACTTCACGTAACCACCGCTAAGCTAAAGGCGGCTAATGTTGGGCTATAAAAGAACTACAGCTCGGTCACATGACTTCACGTCACCACCGCTAAGCTAAAGGTGGCTAATGTTGGGCTATAAAGGAACTACAGCACGGTCACATGACTTCACGTAACCACCGCTAAGCTAAAGGCGGCTAATGTTGGGCTATAAAGGAACTACAGCACAGTCACATGACTTCATATCACCACCGCTAAGCTAAAGGAGGCTAATGTTGGGCTATAAAGGAACTACAGCACGGTCACATGACTTCACGTCACCACCGCTAAGCTAAAGGCGGCTAATGTTGGGCGTGATGACCATATTCAGACGCTTGTTAACACACTGTTTTTAAATTCACTAGAGGGGTAATAATAACTAACTGTCAGTTACTACTAAATTGGTATAAATGTATCTTTGGCTCGACTCGATATTTGTCCGTCTATCAGCAGGATTTGAGCAAAACTATTTTCATAAAAAAGTGCAGCATTTCCAGCAGAGGAAAAACCTAATGTTGGGCTATGAAGGAACTACAGCACGGTCACATGACTTCACGTCACCACCGCTAAGCTAAAGGTGGCTAATGTTGGGCTATAGACTAGGAACTACAGCACGGTCACATGACTTCACGTCACCACCGCTAAGCTAAAGGCGGCTAATGTTGGGCTATAAAGGAACTACAGCACGGTCACATGACTTCACGTCACCACCGCTAAGCTAAAGGAGGCTAATGTTGGGCTATAAAGGAACTACAGCTCGGTCACATGACTTCACGTCAACACCGCTAAGCTAAAGGTGGCTAATGTTGGGCTATGAAGGAACTACAGCACGGTCACATGACTTCACGCCACCACCGCTAAGCTAAAGGTGGCTAATGTTGGGCTATAAAGGAACTACAGCACGGTCACATGACTTCACGCCACCACCGCTAAGCTAAAGGCGGCTAATGTTGGGCTATAGACTAGGAACTACAGCACGGTCACATGACTTCACGTCACCACCGCTAAGCTAAAGGTGGCTAATGTTGGGCTAAAAAGGAACTACAGCTCGGTCACATGACTTCACGTAACCACCGCTAAGCTAAAGGCGGCTAATGTTGGGCTATAAAGGAACTACAGCACGGTCACATGACTTCACGTCACCACCGCTAAGCTAAAGGTGGCTAATGTTGGGCTATAAAGGAACTACAGCACGGTCACATGACTTCACGTCACCACCGCTAAGCTAAAGGTGGCTAATGTTGGGCTATGAAGGAACTACAGCACGGTCACATGACTTCACGCCACCACCGCTAAGCTAAAGGTGGCTAATGTTGGGCTATAAAGGAACTACAGCACGGTCACATGACTTCACGTCACCACCGCTAAGCTAAAGGCGGCTAATGTTAGGCGTGATGACCTTATTCAGGCGCTTGTTAACACACTGTTGTTAAATTCACTAGAGGGGTAATAATAACTAACTGTCAGTTACTACTAAATTGGTATAAATGTATCTTTGGCTCGACTCGATTTGTGTCTGTCTATCAGCAGGATTTTGTCGAAACTAAAAGGTCCTATTTTCATGAGACGTACAGCATGAGCCGAGGAAAAACCCAATCGATTTTGGAGCCAATCTGGATATTGGTATGGCATTTGTTCTGCATTCATGTGTAATCATCCAGGAGGATTATATCTAAGTATTAACCTTTTAGCTGCAGAAACAAATGAGGCTTTAAAGGCATTACCAGAAACTGAAAACCCACCTGTTTTGCTTGTACATTGAACATTAACCCAAAAAAGGAATACATTAAATTACCACTTAAAGGGTTTAGCCCATTCAAAGCTAATGAACCAGCACTTACCATGGATTGGGTTATTTGAATATATCAGCACTTTTCTTCTTAGTCTGAGTTGATATCTTTATGGTTTATTGCACTTATTGTAAGTCTCTTTGGATAAAAGCATCAGCTCAATGAAATGGCATCAGGAAGTCAAATATCAACTTTGCGTAACAAAGTATGCTGATGTGTAACTGAAGGTAAACATAAACAACTGAATTGATCAGACTCATTGTCACAATTGCATCAGTTTAGGAGGTCAGTATCTGTGAAACATTAGAAAGGTTTCCGCACCTGTCTGTGTCGGAGCCGTTCTTGGCGATGATCATTTTTAATTTCCCGAGCCCTCCGACCGGCGCTCTGTCTGTTCCGGTGGTGAACTGGAGAAACAATCTCTTCTGCTCCTCTCCGAACGAGTGGATCGTCTCCCAGAAATCTCTGAGCAGGAAACAGAGGACAGACGTAATACAAATGTTTATTTATGCGAGTAAAAACATGTTTTTCTATATGTAGCGACAGCGGGAACAAACATCTGTTGCCGAGAGGCTGAGGTCGGGCCTGGTTGCCTTTGTCAGACGCGCTATCAAAAAGGAAGTCTATTATCCAAATTACATTGAACAACAAGCTTACTTTAAGAAAGATATTCAACACATTTTAACTTGCACACACATATACAGTCTGAATAATCCAGCTGTGAAAAGGTTGCGCTCAACAAAAAATACAGCGACCCTCTCACCTTCTCTTCCACACACACACACCTCTCACACACCTCTCAAACACCTCTCACACACCTCTCACAGGTGAACAGGTGATTATATTACCTATGGGTACCGCCCATACCCAGAGATGGCAAAAATACACACATCCTTAACTCAAGTAGAAGTACAGATGCTCGTGTTTAAAAGTACTCTGGTGAAAGTAGAAGTACTGACTAAACTTTTTAAATCAAGTGAAAGTAAAGAACTTTGAAATGTACTTCAGTAAAAAGTACCCATAACTAGCAGCTGTTTTAAAGAGTACCTGACCTCCCTTTATATTAATAGAACAATAATGTCATTGTTAGCTAATGAATGTTTCCATGCTGAACAACGGCAACATGACAACGTTTCCATTGGTCCCTCTTCTTTAGAGAAGACCAGGAAATGATGGATACACGGATCGTGTTCAAATCAATAGGCACGCAATGACTCTAAAGAATAATGATCACGCATCAAACACACATTCAGACTAAAGGAACCAGCTGTTTGGGAAATGAGAGAAGTAGAAAGTACAGGTATTTGTGTTCAACATGTAAGAAGTATAAAGTACAGGTATTTGAGTTCAACATGTGAGAAGTAGAAAGTACAGGTATTTGTGTTCAACATGAGAGAAGTAGAAAGTACAGGTATTTGTGTTCAACATGTAAGAAGTAGAAAGTACAGGTATTTGAGTTCAACATGTAAGAAGTAGAAAGTACAGGTATTTGGGTTCAAAATGTAAGAAGTAGAAAGTACAGGTATTTGGGTTCAACATGTAAGAAGTAGAAAGTACAGGTATTTGGGTTCAACATGTAAGAAGTAGAAAGTACAGGTATTTGAGTTCAACATGTAAGAAGTAGAAAGTGCAGGTATTTGTGTTCAACATGTAAGAAGTAGAAAGTACAGGTATTTGAGTTCAACATGTAAGAAGTAGAAAGTACAGGTATTTGTGTTCAACATGTAAGAAGTAGAAAGTACAGGTGTTTGTGTTCAACATGTAAGAAGTCAAAGTAAAAAGTCGTAAGAAAAACAAGTAGTGGAGTAAAGTACTGATACCAGAACAATGTACTTAAGTACAGTAACGAAGTATTTGTACTCCACTACTTCCCACCTCTGCCCATACCCATGAAACCCAACTGATCCAACCCATAATAGATCCAGAAATAATAAGTAATGATATAATAAAACCCTTATTAAATTGTATGTATATTATATGTCGCCAAAAGGTAAACACGACTCACTTGATGATCTGACTGTCCTTGCTGTAGCCTCCATCATATTCTGTCGTTTTTTCAAGAGCTTCAAAGTCCAGTTTCTGTTCAAACCACAAAGACGGCTCAGTAAATCATACAAGGCAACAATACAAGTGACAACAAATGTCTGCGTGAAGGTGTGTTTCCTCACCCTGCTGCCACAGATGAGCAGCTCCACTTCCTCGGGTCGAAACAGATATTTCAGCGGAGACTCGTTCGTGACGATCTGGAAACCTTTTTTAAAGGCTCTGAATTGTCTCTCCACACTTTTGTTCAGTATGTAATCAGAATACATCTCCACAAACTCCTGTGAATCACAGATGTAAACGAGCAGAAACATGAATTGTATGAACAGTGAGATGACAGCATCTCAGGGTCGTTGTAGTTCAGATAAAAAATTATAATATGAAGTCGGGGGAGGTAGGGAATTCAGAGATTATTGTGAAAAGGTTTCTATATCTATATTATTCTCTGGTTGTATTCAATCCTACAATAGAGTGGTGCAGGGACGACGTATTTTTGTAGGCCGACCCGGAAGTAAGCTGCGCAAGGGTTCCCTCGACAGGATTTCTCCATAGGGTTTTGGAAAATAGCTCGAAATAAGGTCTGTGGAAAACGAACCTGTTTGATGAATGCACGTTTTGTTCAGCCGGATAATCTCCACATGTCTACTTTTATCATTTTCGAATCATAAATCCAATCGCCAGAAGCAAAATGCTAACGTTATGCTATAAAGGAACTATAGCCGAGTCCAGCAGCACGACTTCAACGTCAACTTCAGATCCATACTCAAACATACAGACTCTAAATGGTAGGAGTTGAAGCGTTTGTTCTAACAGTCTGCAGGAGGCAGGGACTTGCTTTCAAGCAGAACAGAAACTAACTTAGAGGAGTGTTTACGTGTTCGGCGTAATGACGTACAACGGCCTCGACAACTTCTGTAGTCCTATTCAGCCACTTGGTAACAACCATCGTTTCTCAGACACGTCAACTCTTCAGAAATCACCAGTGCTGATGGATTTAATGTCGTAGAAGAAAACGTGAACCGTCTCTTCAATGTGTCTCAACCACAGACCTTAGTTCCAGATATTTTCCAAAAACGAGTTCAAAAATCCCGTTGACTCTGAGACGGTTAGTGCTAGATCGTATACCTCCTGGGTTTTAGGCGGCGGAAGTGACGTAATCGTGGATGAGAAATCGGCAACTTTTGCAGCAACTGGTAGTAAAAGTAGATACATTTAATTTAGCATGGGCTCTTCGCGACTCTGGAGTCCAGCGAACAGGAGTGAGAGGGAGCACACTCCTAAAAAAATCTCCCCCTTTTTTTTTTTTTAAATAGCCTCGTACTGTGTGTGTCGCTGTAATCCGAAATCAAACGCACTCAGTGGCTTTCTGAGTGTTAAATCCCATCTGTGCTTTTCTTCTTGTGAGATGTCGTTTTTTTTAAAAATATTAGTAATAGCCTGCTGTCCTCCAAAGTTATGAATTCTCAAAATATTATATTTATGATATTTTTGTGGACAAATGATGTATTCATGCTCGTCTCTTGTCCTGGGTGGCAGGTTACGTCACTTCCGCCTAAAACCCAGGAGGTATACGATCTACCACAGACCTTATTTCCAGATATTTTCCAAAAACTAGTTCAAAAAACCCGTTGGCTCTGAGACGAGGGAACAGGAAGTGGTTAAATGCTAACTCACTTCCGGGTATTAGGACTCGTCACTACACCACTCTATAGTGAGGAATAAAAAGTGTACATTATCTGAGATTAAAGAGGAACATTTTTCTGAATATTCATCACAAAACACTCCACCTGTCTGTTTTCTTTAGTGACAGGGATCTCCTCTCCGTCCTCCTTTAAGTCGTATAAAATGGGGCTTCCGAACAGGTCCATGTGTGATATCTGGAAGGTGAGCATCATGTCTTTCTCGACGTCACCGCCGTACTCCTGCAGCTCCTTCAGACTCTGGAAGAGCGCCTGCAGGAAGAGAAACATCTGCTGTTAGAGGAAGGCGTTTGAGAGTTTGGGAAAATATGCTCACATGCGTCATGAGAACATCTGAATGAGTTAGCTTAGCATTAAGACTGGAAACAAGAGGCAACTGCCAGCATAGCGGTCAGGAAGTAAGAAAATCTGCCAACCAGAATCTCTAAAGCTTGCTGATTAACATTTTATATGTTATTTGTTTAATGTGCAAAAAGATAGAATAGTAAAATCAGTGGTGTAGTGGTCGTTGGACGCGGGGGATCGCCGTCCCCCCACTTATTTGAAGCATGATTTTTTTTGAATAGTCTAAAGCAGGGGTGTCAAACTCAAATACACAGTGGGCCAACATTAAAAAATGGGTACTAGTGGAGGGCCGGACTGTTTCAATGTGTATTGCAGAACTTATTGAAATGAACTTATTGCACATATTAAACCTGGAACTAACAAAGCTTAAATGATTGCCTATAAAAACAACATTAAATAATCAGTTGCTTTCATTTCTTATGGCTCTATCTGCAGCTTTTCCAGAGTCATTTCTTATGATTACATTTTCCCACAGGCCAACAACAGCTTCAACAAAACTATTCCCCTCAAAGAGAAAACCAAACATGCCCTGTTGTGGTGAGAGAAAGTGCAGAAGGAAACATCCATTGAACTCAGTGTGCTGCTCTGTGATGCTAGTTCAGATACTTGGCATCTCATCTTGGGAGCAAGCTCATCAATGTTTGGGCTCAGGCTCTGAGCTGAGGAGACCCTCAGGATGGAGTGAAGGTGTGCATGCAATATACCGGCGGGCCAGATCTAATAGAAATTACAAATTATCCTGCGGGCCGAAATTAAATCCACCAAGGGCCTGATTTGGCCCCCGGGCCTTGAGTTTGACACATGTGGTGTAATAAATATAAAATCATTGCCAGTGTTATCAGTTGCAAGTGTGTATTTGTTGTAATAATGACGAAAACATAATACATTTCACAGTAATTATAATAAAAACGTAAGTATTTATGCAACTTGATTTGAAGCGTGTGTGTGTGTGTGTGTGTGTGTGTGTGTGTTTGTGTGTGTGTGTGAGGGCTGACTAGGTGTCCCTCTTTGTGCACACACACTGCCACACAGCATGTTTATCATTCGTCCCGCGTCCCACAAATTGAGACTATGTCCCGCATCTGAGTGCCAGTCGTGCAGAAAGGCCGGCTCAGTTCGCTGACGGCCCCCCCCGTTGACGCGTCCATAGAGTCTCTCTCCTCCCCCACCCCCCCGCCCAGTAAAAAAATCCCCACTACACCACTGGTAAAGACAACACATTTAAGAATTATTTAAGAATGTTATACTAATTTGTTGGAACATTTATCCAATTCAGACAATATACAAACATTTATTTTTGCATTGTTAGGGATCCTTGATTTTCAATAAAGAAACAGCCCAGATTAATTTGGCCTTTCGATTAAAATAAAGCAGATTTTTCAGCTAAACATGAGAGTTCTACTTTATTGTCTGTATCTATACTACAATGGTTTGTACAAGAAGTCACGTTACAATACGGCACATTTAGAATTTTCGAACCTTATTTAAAGTGCAATTTGTGTTCCTTTAAAAACAACAAATTGATAAAGATTGGCAAATAATAAGTTTCCACATTCTCAGACATGAGGGAGATATCCATGTTTTCATATAACACTCGACTAAGCTTATTTCCAAACATTTTAAATGTCTTCCTTAAGAGCTACACTTTGTTTACGGGAAAGAGTTCATCCTACAGCAACATCGTTTACTTGATTCTACCCGTTTCTGCTTCATTCATTATTGATATGAATCACTGCGTTCACTTACTTTTACAATGTAATTAAATGATTTTACTACATGGGTGCTTCCCTCTTTCATTTCATGTGTGTGTGAGGAAGCGCACACACTCCCTCACAACAACTATTTGTTTGTTAAGAAAGGCAGTACATGTTTCTTCAGAGTTGTCTTTATTTCAGTTAAATAGTCTTGGATGTGATTGGTCAGGAACTGTATGATTGTATGAGTGTCAATTAGGTAAAAAATTATCAGTTTTAAGCAGACCTTGTTGTTTTTGAAGGTACCATATTTATGTTGATGCAATTATGAATTTGAAACGGTGTTTAATTTTGTATTTAACCCTTCACTCCGCTTTCAGAACCATGACCTGATTGGCCAGGTTGGATTGGGAAGGCGGGCAGTCTCCTATAAATGTGGTTGGGAAGAGAGGGGAGGCGTGTTTGTTCCTTGCTGGTGAACGCAGCACCAGGCATGACGTTTTGTGTTCCTGTAAAAGAATATGGAAGGCTAAGAAATTAAACACCTATTTTTGAAAGAAAACCCTCTCTCCACGTATCGTTTTTTTCACCTGCACCTCACAACAGTTCGCATACTTATTCGATTTTTGCCCTTCACCTGCACTGTCCATTTGCTGTTCTAACACCGTGGCGCGATTAAAGCTGTCTCTAAAATATACTGGTAACTGATCTTCCACTATATTGACTCTGGAGGAAGTTACTGTACTGGATGTGAGTCTGAGAGGTCCAGGTAGATCCCCTTCTTGCCCATCAGCTTCCTGTAGACGACCATGGGGAAGTGCACGTCCAGGATGCAGTTGTTGTAAATGGCGAGTCCCAAAACGAGTCCAACGAGCGTGTACTGAGCCTCGTTCTCCAGAGAGGACGAGTTGAACCAAAACAGCTTGGTGTCGTCGTCGTAGCTGAACATCCCTGTTCAAAGAGTCAAAGGGAGAGAAACGCATGTTAAGACAAAAGACAATATGTAAAGAAACCTGTTTTTAACCCTTGTGTTGTCTTCCTATCAGTGTTTCCGCCAGACCAGGGCTGAGAGGGCGTCCACCCCGAGAGCGAGTGACGTCACGGTGTGTCACGTGACTTACATTTTGAATTGAGCCGTCCCTTATAGATTCTGGGTGTTTCTCAATGTCGAGTACGCTTGCTTGGTAGCATGTCTTCCGAGTCACTTGCTTCAGAAGCGAGGCAAGAATACTTCCTGGCATTCGGAAAATGAAGAGTGGAACAGGCGTGGGTCATATGAGAGGCCCCGCCTTACATTTTCCACCACAGATTTGGGGAAATTGGTCAGTGCGCAAAGCATTGTGGGGATTTTAAGACCGCGGAGTCTACACATGTGCAGCCTCGAAATGTCTCCAAACGGAGCACGCCGGGCTCGGTAGAATTCCAAGTATGCTGGACATTGGAACAGTCCTTCGGCGGCACTCGATGACGTAGTATGCTTGAAATAGTGGCTCTGGAGCAGCTTCACTCGACATTGAGAAACGCCCACTATCTCTTTACGTATTAGTGATGGGAATTCCGACTCTTCTTAGTGAGCCGGATCATTTGGCTCGGCTCACTAAGAAGAGCCGGCTCTTTCGGCTCCTAAACGGCACTTCATGTTACCACAGTTTACCACGGGGCCTCAGTTTAGCTGCTGCGAGGCTCCGGCGCTCGCAGTTGACGCGCGTGCTCCACTAGCAGCCCCCCGTCAAGGCTCGCCGGCATCATTGTTTTTGGACGCCCTCGGCTCGAGTTCAGGGCGTTCCGATCTGAATAAGGGCGTCAAATGACGGCAAGACGCCCCCTGGCGGAAACGCTGCTTCCTGTGGAGCAAACTTCTGTGTAGCAATGCAGTGGGAGTCACTGACTCATGAAGGAGACACAGGACGAGCAGGAGTTCTGATGTCAAACACTGATAATTAATACAAGCATCGGACGGAGAAATTCACATCACAAGTCACACAGTCAAAGGTTCTGACTGCACGGGTGGGTTGCCATGTCAAATCTGATCAGCCTCGCATCTTGGTAGACCTTTTAACTAGTTTACAGAGAGTCAAATCCACATATTGGGGATGGGCGTAAATCATGGCGTAAACACATCTGCAGACACAGGAGATGTCTCTCCCATCTCTGGAGCTTAGAAGCTAGCGTTCTCACACTCGCAAACCTCCCCATGCCCTGTAGGTCAAGCTGTAAAACCTAGTATCAACATACGACTGCATCAACACTAGTGCTGTAGCGACGCGTCGACTTCAAAATATCGTCGACGACATATTTCCGCGTCGACGCGTCGCTACACACACGTGGGTCCCCCAAAGCAACAAGCAGTTCGCAATCGCACTTCAAACACAATGGAGACTGAAACGGCTACCACCTCCTCCTCACAGGATTGCGCACGAAGCCCCCAAACGAAAACATCTCGCCCTAGGTCTTCAAAAGCATGGGAATATTTTAAAGTTAGTCCAAAACGCAAAGATATTTATATATTTATATCTCACTGAGACTGCTGCTTGACCGGAAGCAGCAGCTAGCTGTGGTGGCTACCATTAGCAGCTAGCATTTGCTCTCCGATTTTTACATAAAATGGAATTATGGATTATAAATTCAATCATTTTTTTATACATAGACGTTAAAAACCTATGGATTAACCGATTCAGCCGCGTTTTTTCTCAGTTTATTGCCATTGAACACGTATTTTGATCAGATTGACAGCTACGGTGGTGAGACGATCTCCCTAGAAGCTCTGTGAAGGTACGTGTTGTGAGGACTGTAATTGCTTCCCTTGTCGCGAGTCCGGATCACTCAGTGATGATACTATATACCTACATAATCTGTGGAGTCTCAGCTTTAATCGGATATCTTGTATGTGCAGCTACGATAAGAAATAAGGGTACTTTTATCTTGAGTTCTGTGCCAATGTCCGTTAGCATTTTTCGCTCAGGGGTCATTTAGATGCTTCTTATGAGACTTGTGTTTTGTTTTGGTAAACATGGTTTGTATCGTCAGTTAGCTGAGATTATTTCCGTTAATCTGGTATAACACATTAATAGGTTCTTAAATATTAAGATCCCCTGAGACACAGTATCGTGAACAAAACATTTTTTACAATACGTTTTTTTTTAATTGAACAACAGAAAAATAATCGTTAGATTAGTCGACTAATCGATCAAATAATCGCCCGATTAATCGTTTTCAAAATAATCGTTTCCCCCCAGCACTAATCAACACACTCCTTACGGGAGATTAGAAGCAGGGATGGTCGTACATGTCAACACACAAAATAAGGTTAAATGTCTAGGAGTAAAGACAAAATGAATCCCTAACACTTCCTGACTTTTCTCCTTCCAGTTTGACTATTTATAAAGTGGGTATAAATGGTCACCCAAATCTGTGTCACACCAATTAAGGCAACTCTATTCCTACTTATTACCACAAGTGTTACTCTTCTTTTTGAAATGTATGGTCAGTAGACCTCATGTACACAAAATCAAACCTCATTTCTGAGTAAAAGAAATGACCACAAACGCTCTAAATTTCAATAAAATCCAAAATCGAATGAAGGAGATCATGATTATTTTCTCGTGGAAAAACGTAGTATACAAGCAAACATGTTATTTTTCTGAAACCAACATAAAACAAACCGTTATCCCCAACATAAAAACATTTCAGATTGTACCGGAACAACAGGAAGGTTAACTCTACAGATGTCAATTGAATTGGTTTGAAGATGATACTTAGACTTTGAACCCACTTATTGTAAAATGTTTTCAAATGGATTAAAGATTATAAAATAATAGGTAAAAACAATTCTGTATTTCAGGAAGACGTAATGAATCTCACGTAGGGCTGAAAGATTAATCGATTTTAAATCAAAATCGTGATTTTAAATGATGCAATTATTATCTTCTTGTGTGTCAGTCATCCACACCAATCAGAAGTGCTGTGCTCCACATGTACCAGCCATTGTTAACCAATCAGAAGTGGCCCATGATAGAAGGTGATAGACAGATTGATCCAATCACCTTTTCCAAATGGCTTCCTATGGAGCTTTCCTAGATGGTTTCTGAGTCAGGTTAGTAATGCTCCATCACATGTTTCTATTACAGGGTGAATCTTAAACTGAAGCTCGACTTTAAAGCAACCCAACGGAAGTTTCATGTAAGTTTAGTTCTTTCACTCGTAGCTCGGGCTGCGGGGGTGCTAGAGACGGGAGCACGTTGATACGACCTTCCTAGCCGGAGATATGGCCGCATTTTACAATAAACTTCCGTTGGGTTGCTTAAAAACAAATATCGCAAACCGAATCGCAATATCTGTCAGGAAAATCGCAATTCGATTATTTCCCTAAATCGTGCAGCCCTAATCTCATGTAGACTTTTCTCAAGAAAACTATTTTTTTAAAACGGGTAGACATGGGAAGAAAATGTTTAAAAACTGATTAAATGTCTGACCTATGTCTGGATTGAAGATCTCCTCCAGCACCAGCTGAAAGAACTCCTTGGAGACGCCGCCCTCGTCCACACCCTGCTCTCCCTCGAACTCCACAAACAGCTGCTTCTTCAGGTCGGACGGGTTCTCCATGGAGATCATCTCCAGCTGAAACACAAGAGTTTAATTCAGTGATAGAAAAAAAACCAGCTCTCAGTTTCTCCCCACAGGCAACCGTAATAGGGCTTTAACTTTTAACGGCGTAATTATAAGCCTGATCCGAAAGTCTAAGGCAGCTGTTTTGGCACAAAGCCGGTTACAAAAAAACCTGATTTAAAAAAAGAATGCGTTTGGGAGTAATTTGGGGTTAAGTTTCTTAACCTCATCGACATTTACTACCCACCATGTCTTGCTCTGGAAAGACTGTAGTTGTCTTCAGCTTGACATATATTTTAAATACATTTCAAACATATATTTCAAGCTGAAGACAACTACAGTCTTTCCAGATCAAGACATGGTTGGCAGTAAATGTCGATGTGACCTTGGTTAAGATACTTAACCCCAAATTACTCCCAAATGCAAGGCCAACAGTGTGTGTGTGTGTGTGTGTGTGTGTGTGTGTGTGTGTGTGTGTGTGTGTGTGTGTGTGTGTGTGTGTGTGGCACCTTGTATGGCAGTCTCTGTATGAATGTGTGCGAATGGGTAAATACTGACTTTTATAGGTAAATTGCGTTGAGGTGTCGCACTGGAAAAGCATTGTTTGAATGCAGTCCATTAAACATTCTTCGTACAATTTACACCATTCATTCTTGGAAATCGGCTTCCATATCAAAGCGATTTCTAATATTGTAAACTCAAAATGTCCCTAATGTGATCAGGATTAAATAAGTAACACACTGCGTTTGGACTCACTCTGACGAGGGCGTCGTCGATGATGTGATCTCGTCTCACTTTGAGCTTCAGGTAGGGGTTGGGCTGCTGGCCCTGCACCATGCTGTAGAGAGCCGTGAGGCGCCGCTCGCTGTACATCCGGATCCTGTTGTCGTAGTACAGCCCCTGGTTCTTGGTGATGACGTTCAGGATGAAGGGGCAGCTCTGGAAGGAGAACTTTGTTTCGGCGTTGACCTTAAAGAAAGTGAAATCTTTGTCCATCTCCACCACGTCGTTCAGGGACTCGTTGACGAACTCCTCGTGGGGGATGAGGGGTTTGATGCAGTCTACGGATCGGACCCCGAGCTCTTTCTGCAGAGGGTCGACCCGCGGACCCTTCTTATAGAGCCGCTCCTCGCCTAGCAACTCATGCAGGGTGAGTTCATCGGACTCTGGGTCTTCAATGTCCTCCTCGTTGTGCTCCACGTCCACATCTCCCGCCAGGATGCTCGCGTAATAAGCCAACTTCAAACACTGCGTCCCGGCCACCACCGACTCGTCGTCATTCACCAGATTCTCCCCGTCGTAATCGTTGCTGACGACGGTGAAGGTGATGAGCTGCTGGAAGGTCTCCATCATGCGGCGGATGTGCGTCAAACCGTAAGAAGCCCAGAGTTTCACGAGTCTGGCGAGCGCTGCTACCGGGAGTTTGCACATGGCTTTGCAGAACTGCGGCAACGCCACTTCCAGATACTCGGGGCTGTGCAGGTTCGTGTTCTCCAGCACGACGACGAAGATGTTCAGGTACTCTGGGTTTGTGCCGTACACATCGAGGTACTCCAGGTCCAGCTCTAAATTGGGAGTGAGGTAAATGAGGGCGTTCACGAGAGCCGCATCTACCCGGTCGAGGCTCAAAAGTTTGTCGTAGACCCTCCTCAAGGCGCTGATGTCCACTAGAACCTCCAAAGACGGATCAGAAACATCCTCATCTGGAAAAGCTGCTGCAGAAGAAGAAGCCCCCGCCTCCTCTGATATTGGCGTCTTCTTCTCAGGGTTGTCATTATCTGTAGCTTCAACAGAGTCCAGGGCTTTAGAAATGTCGGGTTCGTCGCTCCTGAAACTCTTTATCAAGGCTTCTGCGTTGGAGAAAATCCTGCCGAGGACGTGGATCAGAGTGGAGTAATCCCCTTCCTCCTCGCAGAAACTCAGGATCGTACACACTGTGGTCTCTGTGAGGTGATTTACATCTGGACAAAACAGTCAAAATGCATTATATAAGTACAGTGTACTCCGTGTGTTGGATACAGATCAACCCATATACACAATACAATGTAATATTTAAAAAGACACATTTTGATATCTAGTTAAAGGTAGGGAAGGTAAGAATGGAGAAAGCAGCTCGAGTGCGCTACAAATTGAAAGTACACAACCGGAAAAAATCTGCCCCTTCCTTCAGACTTCCTCACAGAGCCCCTCCTCCAACACACACGAACGCGCTCATGACCAATGAGGCACGAGATAAGTTTGTGCACAGATGGAAGGCTGACAGGCAGGTAGGCCATCCAGTTACTTTAGCCGGCTCAGATGATTGGTCGTGCTTTTTACAGCGCCACGGCTTCCACTGATGACTTTTTTTAATGTATTTATTGTCAAAGCATTTCATGTATTCATTGCTATTGGGATGTTAAGAGCATTCCATGGAATATAACAAGTGTTTCTGAAGTGAATTACCTACCCCACCTTTAACATAAGAGGTGCTTTCACACCGGAGTACTTTAACCCGTACTTTTCCCGTTTAGTTCCGTTAGTGCCTGGAATTTTGCGTTCACACCAAAAAGAGAACTTAGTTCAGAGAACTTTTACCTCCGTTTTTTGCTAGAGAGGTGGGACTATCCTCTTTTTGAAGCCGCCATTGTATTTGCTGCCAGGCATTAGCATTATTAGCATTATCGGGATGTTAAGAGCATTCCATGGAATAAAACAAAAAGTGGTTCTGAAGTGAATTACCTACCCCACCTTTAATATTGAACATAACAACAATATTGTGTAATTGATGCAGCAAGAAAGACATTTAAGCGTGCTAGGGAAAACATATTAAAAAAATAGACGGATCAATTTTTCACGCTACAGATGAGGGCTCTACGAATTGTTAATTGATTGGATTATAACCACAAATCAAGCTCTTTTTATTCATTTAAATGCTTTGACATTCTTAGATTTAGTTGATAATAAAACTCCCCCAAATGAATTAGCTTCCCTACTGTGTTCAGAAGTTGTTTAAAATTAGAGCAGACATTTTTTTAAATGATTGCCTCATTGCTATTCATCAATTTTGTATGTGAATTATTTTGGAAAATATCTCAAAACGGGCCAAAATTATTGATTACAACTACTGCTATTTTGAGGGTGTCTGATTCTTCTTGTGTCTTACATACTGATTAATTATTTTGAAATACTAAGTCATTATTTGAGATCGTTTGTCATTATTTTGAGATACTTGGACATTATTTGACTACCGCTACTGCTACTTCTAGTATAACTACTACTTGAGTGTAATTCATTTGTCAAAAAAGAGAAAAAACACACAATAAAGAAATTCTAAAAATAATTTGAATGACCGTTTTACTCTTATTTATTTAAAATGTTCTAAACATATCAGGATACATTTGATATTGTGAATTGTTTTGGACACAATAACCGTGTATCTGATATAGTGACAAAGTCAGCTGTGAGTTACCTGAGAAGTTTTCTTTGGCGTTTCCAACGTCCGTCATCTTATTGACCAGATCAGAGTCTTGCTTTTTCTTGGCGGGGTTGGGGTTACAGAGTTTGGCGTTAACCTTGAACAGATCCAGCGCTTTGGCGGCCGCCGTGTTGCTATCCAGCGATCTGAAGTCGGGACACGATGCACAAATCTCGTTCGTGCAGTCGTCATTTCCACAGCCCTCGGTTAACTGCCGAAAGTAGCGCTCGATTAGATGCTTTGCAGTCGCTCTGTTCCTGTAAAGGGGTCAGGAAACAGGAAGTCAAACAGAGGATTCAAGCACAGAAATGAGAAGGAAATGTACATACATGTTTCAATTACTGCAGGTTTATTTGTTCCACTAGTTGAGCTAAATAAGGAGACTCACATTCGGCTGGATTCAGGGACACTCCTGCAGACCCAATAGACAGTCCTGTGGAAGACACAATAACGTATTGTGAGACATCATAAATGCACACATCCTCGCAATAATGGGGCAGAGTGGCGCAGTGGGCTGTGCGTTTATAATCAGATCAAGGGGGCGTTGGGGAACTCCAGTTCGAAACCCGCTTCAGCCGCCACTGTCCTTGGCAAGACACTTCACCTAAATTTGCTCCTGTGGGTATTGTCCACAGTACATGTATGATATGAATGTGCACTTGTAAAGCGCCTCGATGACTTTGAGGTGTGAAGATGGGCGGGGTGGCGCAGTGGGCTGTGCATGGATCATCAGTTCAAGGGGGCGAAACCCGCCGACACTTCACCTGAATTTGCTCCTGTGGGTATTGTCCACAGTACATGACCGTTACATGTATATTAACCTTTATATATACAGTCTATGATATTAACTCATTCTTTTAAAATACAAATGTTTATTTTGAATAACGAAGTCATTGCTGATATTTGTTTTTATTATTTTGAGAAACTGGGTCATTATTTTGACATTTATGTCGTTATGTTGAAATAATAATTTAGCAATTATTTTGACAAACTTTATTTTTTGGACACAGACATTTATTTCTGCAACACCAACTCAAACACTATTTTGACATATTAAGTCATTAACATTACTTATAAGGTATTTTTCCTTAAATTACATTGAGCTTGAATATTTTAAGCTTTGTTAAATCACATGTTTTTGTTTATTTTAGCCACATTTCAACACCAACTGAGATGTTGCACAAATCTGACTGAGGCTAGCTGTGACTCAACTCTGTGTTTAATGCTCAGATTAGCCTCTAGCTAGCTTATTATCACATAAATAAACAAGCTAAGGAAGTGAACAGTAAACTATATACAGTAAAACAACATTAAAGGCCAGAATGTACTAGGTCCTTAGTCATTATTTTGATAAACTAAGCCATTATTTTGAGATATTAGGTCATTATTTAGATATAAGTCATTATTTGGAGTTACTAAGTCATTATTTGGAGTTAATAAGTCATTATTTTCTCATTATTGTGAGATATTAAGTCGTTATTTTGAGAAACTAAGCCATTATTTGGAGATATGAGGTCATTATGTTGTCATTATTTTTGATATAATGTATTATTTGGAGTTACCAAGTCATTATTTTCTCATTATTGTGAGATATTAAGTCATTATTGGGAGATATGAGGTCATTATTTAGATAGAAGTCATTATTTGGAGTTACTAAGTCATTATTTTCTCACTATTTTGAGATAATAATTCAATATTTTGAGAAACTAAGCCATTATTTGGAGATTTTAGGTCATTATGTTGTCATTATTTAGATATAAGTAATTATTTGGAGTTACTAAGTCATTATTTTGAGAAACTAAGCCATTATTTTGAGATTTTAGGTCATTATGTTGTCATTATTTTGAGAAACTAAGTCATTATTTGGAAATATGAGGTCATTATATTGTCATTATTTAGATATAAATCATTATTTTTGAGATTCTGAATATGTTGACATACTAGGTCACTTTATTTTGTATTTTGTTTGGACCTACAGGATGTTTACTTCCATCACAATGACAGAAATGTGCTCCCATAGTTTTTTTTAGCCACATTTCAACACCAACTGTGATCTTGCACAAATCTGACAGCTGACTGAAGCTAGCTGTCACTCAACTCTGTGTTTAATGCTCTAATTAGCCTCTAGCTAGCTTATTATCACATACATAAACAAGCTAAGGAAGTGAACACTACACAAAAGCACATTAAAACCAGATGAATGCACTTACCTGTGTATTTATCAAAGGTATAGTCCTGTCTGTGTGTCTGTTGGTCCGTGTGTCTGTCAGTGACTGTGCAAAAATAATCTCCTCTGCTATTTAAAACACATTGAGAGCAAAGAGAGCCTGCTGCGTTTCCTTCTTAAAACTGAGTCCACCGTTCAATGGAAACCGAGACTAAAGGAGGATTTAAGAGTCAATACGTCAGGAAATCAAGCGTTAATACTTTCTGTTTGTAAATCAGAGCGAAAAATCCTCCACTACCATCTTGTAAACATGAGCGCCATGTATCCCAGAATGCACCGCGACGCTGTCAAACCAAGCCGGCCGTTGAAGCCGTGTTTTGGGGAAATTGCCCCAGTGGCCAAACGGTGCTACTACAACCCCAGTGACGTCATTTTGGCCCAAAAATACCTTTTCTCCATTGACTTAGATTGGCAGAGGTAGGAGAAAAATACTCAGAACTTGTACTTAAGTGTAGGAATACTCTATTACAAGTTAGAATCCTGCATTCAAAATGTTACTCAAGTAAAAGTACAAAAGTATTGTCAGCTATATACTTTATTTTTTGTTCTATGTCTATTATGGTATTTTTATGTTTATCTTGAATGACTTTTGCTGGTAACTGTATTCTGTGTGATATCAGTTTTCTGTGACTATTTTAAGAGATGTCAATTGTCTACTGTGAAGCACTTTGGACTGCAATGATTGTATGAAAGGTGCTATACAAATCAATATTAAAGTACTAAAAGTAAAAGTACTCATAATACAAATTTGCCCATTTCAGAATAATATATATGACACGTTTTGGATTATAGTTATTGATGCATTATTGTGTTTTTAAAAGCCTGTAAAGGTTTACTTGACTTTGTATACTGCAGAGTAGCTTGTGAATTTACTCCGGTAGTGGCTCAGTCAGTATGGGGCTTGGACTGTGAGCCGTGGGGTCGCCGGTTAAAGTCCCCGACCAGACCTAAATATGGAGTGTGAACTGGTACTTGGAGAGGTCCCAGTTCACCTCCTGCCCTGCCGTGGTGCCCATGAGCAACCCCCCCACAAATTCTAAGGTAGTTTAGTTTGTTGTTCTAAGATTCAAGGGGTACATTTTCCACAAATCGACCCTTATTTTGAAAGGTATGACCGGAAGCCGTCTCCTCTAATCTGGTAAATTTGACGCAGACGCAGGTGTGTGTGTCGCGGTTAAAAATGATACCTGTATGAAACTATTTATCGTTCAAGTGATGACAACAATGGCTGAACCGGCAGAAATCCCCGTTCTCAGCCGACTTGTGTAACCGGTACGTCTTTATTCATATAATGTTGTCTTCAATGACTTAAAGAAAACCGAAAGATTACGGTAGCGAAGTAGCTAGTTAGCTAAATAGCTACAGTAGTTAACGGCTAATTGAACAGCCGTTTGGCTAATTTCAAACATTTTGGAAATTGGTGGTCACTTAAGAATTAGGGTGTGAAGATATTGGTAAACTTGTTGTTTTTTGTAACTTTTTGCAACATTTAATATTGTTTTTGTGTATGGTTTCATGTCCTTAAGAAATCCAATTAATACTGGATACTTATTAATGGGAGCAACATTTGTAGATTACTCTTTTTTGAAATTATTTTTTGAAATTTGAAGGCTACATTTTACATTATCATATGTTATGACCGGTTTTGCTCATTGTAAATTAACCAAATACTGGAGAGCATCCCAACATTTCTTAACTATGGTGCAGGAAAAGAGGCATATATTTAGTTGTGAGAAATGCAAGGGTGACGCGTGACGCGTCCTAAAACCCTGAAGTAAACTGCGCATGGGTTCCCTCGACAAAAACGCAATGCAATTTCTCCATAGGATTTTGGAAAATAGCTGGAAATAAGGTCTGTGGTTGACACACATTTAAGAGATGGATCACGTTTTGTTCAGTCGGATAATCTCCACATGTCTACCCTACTTTTATAATTTTCTAATGGTAAATCTAATCGCCAGAAGCTAAATGCTAACGTTATGCTGATCGAACTACAGCAGGGTCGCACGACTTTAACGTCACGCCAATTTAAGATCCATATTCAAACATACAGATTAAAAATGGTACAAGTTGAAGCGTATGTTTTAACAGTTTGCAGGAGGCAGGGACTTGCTTTCAAGCAGAACACGGGGAAAAAACAAATTTTAGCGGGAGTGTTTACGTGTTCGGCGTAATGACGTACAACGGCCTCGACAATTTCTGTAGTCCTATTCAGTAGGGATGGGAATTTGAAAGCAAATGTATATTCGACCCCCAAAAAAACGGTTAACCGAAATGTACATATTCTATAAAAACATTTTTAATTTGAAAATAAATACATGTTCAAATACTGTAAGTATAGAAACCAAGTCGAATTTGTCAAATGTATTGAACTGGTGATCACAGTTTGAACAGTTGACAGCTATAGGCCTACAGCTTTCATGCTTAAAACATAACTTGGTTTTTAAATTAAAGAGGGATCAAACACGAACAACATAACCGGTTAGGGTAACGTAACCCTATTACAACAGAGATCAACAACCTGTAACAGGGCCTATGCACAGAATGCAGCTATTCAATACTCATTCTTGTTTAAGAATCTGAGCATGTCTACTCAGGGGAGAGGCGGGTGCGGAGACGATTCACAATCAGGCCAGCTGTAGAGAAGACCCTCTCAGCTGGAATTTGATGAGGTGAGGTTTGAGTCTGTGTGTAGGGAGGGGCAGCAGCCATATCATTAGCTAGATCTGATGGATTTAGACATAAACGCGAGTGAAGTATAACCGGACACGAGGGAGAGATCAGCACCTGCAGCTCTGCCCGCTGTGAGGGACCGGTGAGCGGAGCAAAACACACCTTTAGACCTAACACATTTATCTATGGCACTGTCGTGTACATTGAATTATTCCATTTGATAATATGTAATCAACTTAGGCACCCCTCCCAAAAAAAAAAATATTCATAACTCATATTCGAAAACCTGAATAATTTTGAATATTCGATTAATCGTTCCCATCCCTAATATTCAGCCACTTGGTAACAACCATCGTTTTTCAAACACGTCAACTCTTCAGAAATCACTAGTGGGGTCACTGCTGATGGATTTAATGTCGTAGAACAAAACGTGATCCGTCTCTTCAATGTGTCTCAACCACAGACCTTATTTCCAGATATTTTCCAAAACCCTATGGAGAGATCCCATTGCTTTTTTGTCGAGAGAACCGGAAGTGGTAAAATGCTAACTTACTTCCGGGTTTTCGGACACGTCACTGCACCACTCTATTCTGCTGGCTGGTCATTAAACGGGCAGTTCAGCTATTTAAAAAAATATATACTTTACCTAGCTACAGGTGACGTCACTAGCTCACTCTTTAAAACCTTTCTTTTTACAGGAGGGCGTCATGGCGGCCATTAAAGAGGAAGCGTCTCTCGTAGAAGCTTTTGAAAACAATTTCGAAATTTCACAGGTTCGTTTAAAGTTTTACATTTGAATAAAATAGGTCAGAAATGTTGAGGAGAAACTTTTGTAGCTTCAATAGTCAACCTACAACAGAGATAGTATTTTATCAATCAATCAATCAATGTTTATTTATATAGCCCAATATCACAAATGTTACATTTGTCTCAGTGGACTTTACAGTTTGTACAAAATATCAGTATGACAATACGACACCCTCTGTCCTTAGACCCTCTGTCCTTAGACCCTCACATCGTACAAGGAAAAACTTCCGAAGAAAACCCACAGTTTAAAGGGAAAAATGGGAGAAACCTCAGGGAGAGCAACAGAGGAGGGATCCCTCTCCCAGGACGGACAGACGTGCAATAGATGCCGTGTGTAAATTGAAAAGATAATACATTTGCAACATAGGTAGTCCAAATGTTTGGAAATGCATGTGTGTATAATAGGAAGATGAATCCACGAGGATATCCATCCAGGACCTATGATCCAGGACCACAGCCACGACTCAAGATCCAGGACAGAGGAGCGCAGGATCATTCATGACTCCGGATCCCGGCGTATATAGACACCAAAAAGAAAGACATTTGGGGAAGCTGGGTTAATCGGAACATGAGAGTACACAGGTATAGACAGAGAGAAGGAAGAAGGAAGATGTCCCCCGACAAACTAAGCCTATATCAGCAAAACTAGGGGCTGAATCTAATCAGCCCTAACTATAAGCTTTATCAAAAAGGAAGGTCTTAAGCGCACTCTTAAAAACGGATAGGGTGTCTGCCGCCCGAACACAAACTGGAAGCTGATTCCACAAATGTGGAGCTTGATAAGAAAAGGCTCTGGCTCCCATTGTACTTTTAGAGACTCTAGGAACAACCAACAACCCTGTATTCTTGGAACGCAATGCCCTAGTAGGACAGTAGGGTATAATGAGTTCTTTAAGGTAAGATGGCGCCAGCCCATTAAGGGCTTTGTAGGCGAGAAGAAGAATTTTAAATTCTATCCTGTGTTCTATAGGGAGCCAGTGTAAGGCAGCCAGAACAGGAGTAATGTGGTCCCTTTTCCTAACTCTGGTTAGTGCACGAGCCGCAGCATTTTGAATCAGCTGAAGCGACTTGACTGACTTCTTGGTACACCCTGATAATAAAGAGTTACAATAATCCAGCCTTGAAGTAACAAATGCATGGACTAGTTTCTCTGCATCGTTTTGAGGCAAGATATGCCTGATATTTTATTCTTGTTTATTTTAGTTTTACTCCTTTTTTATTTGTATTTTTACTTAATTTATGGTTTGTGAGCTGAGCTGTATGGTTTATGTGTTTATTTATTTCTCTGTACAGCACTTTGGTCTGAAGCTTACAAATCAGAAATCCTTTATTAGTCCCAGAACAGCGGGAAAAATGCTTTACACATAAAGCTGTGTTGTATAGAAAAGTTAACCAAAATCCATTATTCTAGCCATTTTAATAACTAAAAAAACACCAATACTTGAAGGAAATAAGTACATTAAGTATTTGAGAATCTAGTTAAACCACCCACTCTCCTTTCAAAATGTTGGTCATTAAATATTTCCAATTGTCGAAAACAACACTGTTAACAAATCAGTTGAAATGTTGCTGAAAATATAAGAGATTAATGAATGACTTGCTGACACTTTCTGTGATTGTTGTGCCCAGGGTGTTAAACCGGCAGCATCTGCAGCCTCAGAGGAGACGGAGAGCAGAGAGAAACATGATGATGATGAAGACGACAGACAGCAGGACGAAGAGAAGGAAAGTCCTCCAGAGGGACAGCCAACGGTCGGTCCGCCTGCAGCCGAACCCTCCAGCACAGAGAC